TATATATTGAAAATTGTTATATTTATCAATTGAATTTAATTAAAGAAAAAAACTTAAATTATGACTAATTTTTTTAGATACTTAAGATTCTTTTAATATTCAGATTTTATATGAAGATTTTATGTAATAATACCCCATACATGTAAGCTTGGGCGCGCATAGCGCACCGTATACGCTAGTTAGAATAAATATCACATGTAGAATAATTAATAGAATAATTTAGAATATAAACACTACCGCCTGTTTTTCACTCTCAAAACCAATCATTTTGGTCTGTGATATTTTTCATGTGGTATTTTGATTTGTCTTTTTTTTCGTGACGTTTTGTTCTGTGATATTTTTAACCGTAAGTTTTCGTCCGTGACATTTATGATATTTTGCCATATGAGATTTTTCCGTGGGCTCATTTATATTCCTGATAGTTTATATACATTTGTTTATATACCTGATAAGGTGGCCAACTGCTGTACGCCTGGACATCCCTCCAACTTGGCATCTCCAATCCCGACGCGTTTTTGCTGTCGTCTTCAGCAACAATAATCGTGTAAGAGATAACAGCTCCGTGCTGTTCACTGAAATAATTCTTCCTGAATCTTATCTGTATGGTAGTGCTGCTTCTGCACACCTCATTCGGCACAACTTGAGTCGGTGGCTTCGGTGGAGCTAGTATCGGCATTTTCTGTTTCCAAATAGTCTCAGGACCAAAACCGATTTTCGTCTCGGCTTGAATCCGGAAAACATAGATTTTACCCGGTGTCAGACCCCTGATCACACCCCGAAATTCCGCGGGCTTGAAATCCCGCATTTGAGTGTGCGAAGATCCCTAAATAATAAACAAAGACAAAAAAATAAAATACATTAGAAGAAATCGAAATCAAATTGACTCTGATAGATCCACCCCACAAAATTTCGAACATCTCTCAATCAAATTATGGAATTTCAAAAAAACATAATCCATTTAAAAGACCACAGAATCCCCATTAAAAAAAATCCTAAAATTCAAAAATTCACTCTACCAATCCCGAGAAACCTCCAATTGAAGATCTCACCGATCACGCGGACTGAAGGACTAACAAATATTTATCGATTAACAATTTCCAATACCTCCTAAACAAACGATCCAAATCCAAAAAAACAAGGACCATTTCAAAGCTCCTAACTTAATCTTCAAAATCCGACAAAGAAAATTAAAATCCCCTCTACCAATTCGAGGAAATCCCCGCGGAAGCTCTTACCTCCAGCCCATAAGTTATAGTAAACTTCTTAATGATGCCATTGGACTCCCCATCAGGCAGAAACCACTCAAAACTGATCTCACTGGGTTGAATATCAGTTGGATGGAATTTCTCGACCCTTCCAGGATACGATTCACTGGTAGTGAAACTAGCACTGAGTGGATTAGACCTTCTCAGATAGCTAAACTCAGACCCCGACCTGACGACCAGCGTAAAAGTGTAATTCCTGTGTGGCTTGAGATTGGAAATGGTGATGGCATTGTGCGACGTGATATTCTCCATATAATTATCATCGCTGTTGATGTACTGCACCTCGAAGGCATCGTACTCCCCCTGCGGCACGTCCCAGGTGAGAGATATCCTTGTGTCATTGACATCAATGGCATGAATTCCATTGATCGGCTCCGGAAACAGTCTGTCTTGTCTCAATATCGGTCTGCTCTCTACCCCTTCGCTGACAGTCCAAACAGTAACATTGTACAATTTTCCTGGTGTCAAACCACCGAAGGTGACTTTAGTATCAGTATCGTCGACGTGTTTCTCTTTAGTTGTGTTGTTATCATCGCTTATTCGAAATCTGTACAAATCGAATCTAGACGATTTTATCTGCGTCGGGGTGTAGCGAAGAGTCAGAGAGTCTGGGAGATCCTGATCAATCACTACCACCACTTCTGATTGAATCAGGGGCACTGGAGAGAAAGGCAAAATTCATTACGTCAAAATGACACGCTGCACTGACGATTCATTAAACTCCAATCGCAAAGCCGCGGAAGTTCACAGAATATCTTTTTATTTTACCGAAAGATGTTTGTTTTTATGTAAGAATTATAAACTTTTTCTGAACACAGCTAATTCTGATTGATTGAGAAAAAGAATAATTTATCCTTTTGTCCATATTATTTCTGTTAATTTATGGTAAAATTGGGATTTCCTATCTTTTTTAATTTTTTGTTTTCCGTGGAAATTGGACAGAATCTGCTGACCCGATCTTCACGAGGGGTGATTCGATTATTCTCGGGTTATTGCACAAAACCATGACAGAACAAGAACTAGTGTAGCTGGAGGAGTGCGAAGGCCTTTCCAATCATTAAAACACCGAGCTACTGATTTCTAAATGACGAAAGACGCGGAGAAGTGAAAATTACGGGATTTTTACCGCGAATCAGTGGAACGTGGAGGTTTAATGGAATAAATTTGAGTCGATTAAAGTGCGGCTTGTGCAGTTGTGATTTAATGCTAGTAAAAACGTTCTCAGAGTAAATGGTGGAAAGGAATTATTCAATTTTTGCGGAATTTTAGTGACATTCTGTGAAATTATTTCCGTGGAAAATTTAGAATGGAAGGGGTAAAAATACTTACTTGTGTGAGCGGTGAAATTAGTGACGTCCCCCACGAGATGATAGGAAATAGTGTAAATAGAGAACTCGTATTGGACGCCAGGCATGAGATCGTCAACGAGAATTCTCTCAATGTAGTGCCCCCCGGGTTCTTCAAAATTTGTATCAGTCTCGCCCCCGGCAGTCACATTCTTTGTCCTGACGTCTCCAAGACTTCCGGCGACCCACCACCTGATGAAATTTGTAAAAAAATCAACCTTGGAAAACATTTTCATGAAAAAATGATCGTTTTTCGGACAAAAAATTTGAAGATTTCGACATATCACGAGTTCTCACTGCAGAATGGATTTGAATTCCTGAGAGATGGCTTGATAAATTTATGTATTTAACAGGAATAGGATGAAACGATTTGAGATTAATCTGAAGAAGATGGATGATTTTTCCGCATGTTCAAAAATACGTGCCGATTAGCTGCGCGCGCCGACATTTAGTATGCCCCCTCTCGTGATGGAAGGGGTCGTAAAGATGGCGAAGCCATCACCTCGGATCTTTGAACAATTATTAAAATTCATTATACGATTCAGATAATTCTCAATTAATTCCAACCGGTTCTTGGGAAGTGAACAAATTTTTCAAATCATCGTGCAGAAATTTCTGTCTATTTTTGGCTGAGAATTGACGGCGCAAACGTTCCCTCGCTTTCCAGTGGTTCTCCTTCACCTACTTTAGTCCATTCATTCGTTTAGTTTGTAATTTTTCGATTCGATCATTTTTTCGGAGTCTATATCTCCAAATAATTATTTCGATCAACTCACCTGATTACATACGTCTCGATCCTGCCCTCAGGCCTGGGAAACTCCAGAGTAATATTGGTAGAGTCCACCACAGGCGTGACATTAACCACAGCATTCGGTCTGACCGTGTGATTAACCTGAAGTGGATAAAGCGACTCCACCCCAAAGCTAACAGTATTGACTTGAATCGTGTACTTCTCCCCAGGAGTCATGTCCGCAACTTCCGCCTCCATCTCCCTGACACTGGGTAGCTTGACCCACCTCGGGTCATCATCAGTTCTGTACCTAATCGCATACTCCGTGAATAAAGAATTGAGAGGTGCTGCCCAGTGCACCAAAACTGCATTATTGGTCACCCTCTCGATCCTGAGGTGCTGAGGCGGATGCGGAAGAACTGCTTGAAAGTAATCATGCGGTTCACTCCTCAACCCATGACTAATCGCAAAGACTTTGACCTCATACCCAGCCCCAGGGTAGAGATCCTCTAAAATAATATGAGACTCTGTCGTCAGAGTAGTTGCACTTTCACCAGTGTCATTCCTAGTGTGCGTCACCTCGAACTTCTCCTGACGCGAGTTGACGTCACTCTTCCAGGAGATGTTGAGGCCCTTCTCAATGGACTTGAGGTCCTCGATGATGGGGCTCGAGGGTCTGGTGACCTGATAGAGTACCGTCTCATTAGACTCTACCTTATTGCTGATCGCCTGAACGATAATCGTGTAGTTCCTCCCCGGGAGGAGGGCCTCCAGGGTGACCCTTGTTTTATCCGTTGCCAAGGTGTTGCTGTCTCCAGTAATCGATGTAGTTTCGACCTCGTGGTACTGCAGCTTGTAGCTGTCCTGGGTGCTGGTGTTGTCCGGTCCCCAGGACACCTCCAGCATTCCCGTCTTCTCATCGATCTCCGCCCTGAGATCGCGCACCGCCAGAGGGCGCAGGGTGATGTCACCACTGGCCGGCCAGCTGGTAACTTTCCCCGATACCGTCTTAACGACGACCTGATAGGTCTTGCCGGGCTCGAGGTCCTTGAACTCCCACAGACTCTCGTCGTCCCGGTTTATAGTGACAGGTGTTAAACGGCGATTGCCCCCGAGGGAGATCTGGTATTTATCGAACTCGGAGGTGCCATTGGGAGCGCTCCAGAAGACCCGGAAGCTCGTTGATGTCACGGACGACTTGTCGAAGGTGACGTTGAGAGGGCGCAAGGGAACCGTTCGATATTGGGCGGTCGTTGGAGCGGATGTCTCGTCCTCGGAGACCGTTTGGACGGAGATGTTGTACGCACGACCCGGCACCAGGTCCTTGAACGCCGCCTGGGCAGGACCCGGTGGTTCCCCTTCCTTCTCAACGTAAAAAACTGATTCTATAGCGTCCGGAGGGTCAATACTCACTTTGTAATGAGTATAGATCCCGGCGGGATATGGCGGCTGCCAGAGAACTAATAATGTCGTCTCGTTGCGGAACCACACGATGAATTTACCCGGGGTATTTGGCTTTGTTGTGAAATTTCGCGAGGTGTATGCCACCGATTCTTTTGAGTCAAGGACTGTGAATAGTTGGAGGGAATAGGTGGCGCCTGGTGTCAAGTCCCTCAGGGTGTATGGGACTGCATCTGAGGGGATCAGACTCGTCTTCGGCGTACCTGAGTCCGAGAAACTCTGCACACGCAGACGAAAACCTGAGTAGTTGCCCTGCGACGGAGGAGACCAGGACACTAGGGCTGTTTTTCCGTTGCGCACTGAGACGGTCAGGTTCGACGGCGGATCTGGAGCTGAAGGGATTTAGAGGTTAACTTGAGGGAAAAACACACCTATGTACCCAGCCGGAAACGATCACTTGCAATATTCAAATTATTCAAAGTACTTTATTTGAATGAATAATTAGATAGGATGTCCACGGAAGCAGCTGTCGTTTGTAAATTCATTGTTAATTAAAATTTGTTAATACTAATGATGTACAATCGAATTACATGCGGTATTTACATTGGAAGTCATTGTTGTCAGCGAAGTACATAAGAATAAGAAATATCTTTTTAGAGAATTTTATTGGGGGATTCTAATTTTTTACGCGCTCGCAGTCGATTTAGTCATTAATTCTGTTTGCGTAATGTAAACATTTCGTAGATGGTTTTTGTAATTGCAATAGATTTCTCTATGATTTTTCTCATGCGTGTTGGAAATTGATTCTTACAGCGATTACGGGATTTAGTAAAGATTTCACAGAATATTCAACTGATCGTTTTGCTATACGTAAGATCGAAATAATTATCGATATAAAAATTGTGTAATCGAAAGGCGAAGTTGCCAGTCAGTGATAATAATCAATCAGCTCAGATAAATATGAATTCTCTCAATCAATTCTAGGTATGATATGAATCTATTTAGAATCTAAATTTTAGATCGAAGAAAGATCTTCCTGCAGAAGGACTTTCTCGAGGAGTTATTGATTAGTGAAATCATGAGAAATCACGTGAAATCTGTTGAGTCATATGATTTCATCGGTTTCAAGTCATTTCATACGAATTTAATTTGAAATTCTTTGAAATCAGTGACAGTCACTCGTCATAATTCGAATTTCGTTCACTAACACAGGCCCAATCTCAGCGAACGATTTCTCAGTAGAAAAAAAAGAAACAGCGATTCTGTGGCATCAAAAGATATTGAAAAGAGCAAAAAGACTACAATCTTCTTACAGATTCATATAAGTCTAATTTTATTATACTGTGAGGCTATTGTCCTGGATGAAACACCAGATGAATGTTTATTAAATAATATAAACAAATCTTTAAGAATGGAAACAGAGAAACCACGATTTCGATGCTTTTGGCTTTGAGACTTCGAGATAATTTTGTTCTTTCGGCTACTGCTCTCGAAGGATGAACACATCTTAATAAAATATAATTCAATTGCTCTTACATGAACGTTGCATTAATTTATTATGAGATCTACTGCGCAATCCGTACGCCGATTTTGAATTTGGCGGGTCGAGTTGACCAATAAGGAATCAGTCCTCCGTGTTTCGAGATATTTCGACTCGAGCGAACTTCATTTTTGTTTCTACGCAACCTACTGCGCACTCCGTGTACCGAATTTGAATTTGGCGGGTCGAGTTGACCAATAAGGAAATAGTCCTACGCGTTTCGAGATATTTCGACTCGGGCGAACTTCATTTTTGTGTTTCTACTTTCATAATAAGGAAACATGGGCTTTCAATGAAATCCACAGAAGATTTTGGAAACAAGTCGATAGCTTCTGAGATTTTCACAATTCGCTGTTGAGCATGTGCGATTTTGTGTTTAGGATGAAACCGAAAATATGAAATCAATCGAAATCTACTGAAATCAATTGAAATCATTTGAAATCATGAATTCCGGAGTAAACCCTTTTGTGGCTATTAAGATTTTTAAGATGAATAGGGAAATAATTTTTAGTATCAATAAAAGACTCTTAGAATTTAGAACGAAGATTCCTTATCTTTTATTATCAAAGTCTTGAATAGTTACTTCTGCATTTATTTATTAACGACCATCATGATTCTACACTTTTCAAATGACTTGGAGTCATTTAAAATCAATTATTCCCCGAAATCGTTTGAAATCGCTTTGGAATCATGTGAAACGATTGCGTAATATTCCACAATTAATAACCCCTAGCTTTTTCCGGAGTCCAATACCAAAAAAATAAACAAGAGACTATTTTCTCGTCTCGTTTATTGAGACAGGTTTTTTCACCTGTAGTATCAATCGGAAAACGCGTAGAATCCAGTAATTCTCCACTTTCCTTCCTCAATCAACGGAATAATTATCGGGTTTATCAGACAATTACCTGTGGTAATAGACGCCGTCCACGTGAGCCAATCAAGGAGTGTACCATTGCTGTAGTACAACCAGAATTCATACTTCGTACCTGGAAGCCCATCTCGGAATTTAATAACATCACCGATATCAGTAGCTGCGACTGTTGTATTTGGTCGTGGATAACCAATTGGTGGACTGTAATCCAACCTGTACCAGGATCCACCTTGAGAGAGATTCCCAGGTATCTCAATTGCAAGGTCAGCCGAGTACGTCACCTGTAATTAATCAAATCATTTTACTCCGTAATTAACATGTCATATGAGAAATATTCCATTAAAATTACCGCAGACAAATGCAATCGTTCTTTCTTTGACAAATTTACAATTCGCGATTGCAAATGGATTTGAAATCATTACAATAATAGTATAGATTCTATACGATCGGGTAATATCAGTAATGATATCGAAATTCAATTGAAAGTTATCGGTGATTTTGATAATTATTCAGCATTTTATTTAAGGTTGTTGTCGCGTAGAATTTTTTTTCGACAGTTTTCGTTAAAAATTTTATGGTGAATAGTTTGAAAAATTAGCAACAAAATGAGCCTTTTCCGTTTGCAATTGACCGTTTTGAACTTGAGATATAAATTTTTGAAATTCGAGTGATTTAACACGTGTTTAAATGGAGT